CGAAACGGGGCTACACCGCGCTGGCAATTTAAGAAATAGGGTTCAAGAAAGAGCTGTGATAAAGCGTGAAAGTCTCTGGTATTCGACTGGTTTTGTTCGTTTTTTTCCACTTTTTGCTGTTTCTTACCTTTGCCTGGCCAAGCCCACCCCCGCCCCCACCTCTCACCTCCTGAGCTGCACAGGAGCCGGGAGAGGAAAGTTTGGGAAGTCCCAAACAAAGGGAGCTGGGAGCGCTCAGCCCCCCGCTAGGCCGGCCGCCTCGGGGCTCCCGGCCGGGAAAAACCGGGTCCCCTCCTGCGAGACCCAGAGGAAGAAGGTACCGTTGGGAAAAGAGAGAAATCAATGATCTGTACATGGGAACACGGCGGGCGCTGGCGGTGCCCCTGCCCGGGCTCCCCCTCCGCCCGGCCCCGGCAGCCCCCGGCTCGCCCCGCCGGAGGCAACAAGTGGTCCAAAGCAGCCGAGTCCGACCCCCCCTACCCGATCGCACCCCTCGTCCTGGGAAGGGAAGAGAACTGGGAAACGAGCGTCTCACTCCGCATTCTCGTCCCCCCGGAGACACAGGCATTACTCCATTAAAGCTACTGTACTTTCTCCATACATACACATAAAAATATTAATGCTTTATATATATATATTGCTGCATTATTGGTCGTACTGTTGGCTACGATGATACCTTCAAACTGCATGAATTATTGCAAAAAACATCTTGCGTTACAAAAATAAATCCAAGACTCAAACGGAACTTCAGTGTCCATATGTCAAAAATTTATTTATCTCAAACTGTGCATAATGGAGTAAAAACTTAACTTGAATATGTACCTGTTATAAGGATGGTATTAGTTCAAATATATATACATGGACTGTCGGCAGACTGATTTCAAATAATACAGAGCCGAATCTTTAAAATACAACTACGGAAAATGAGGAAAAAAAAAAAAAAAAAAGAACAAAAAAAAAAAAAGAACTTAAAATATCATCACAATAAATTTACAGAAATATTACAAACCATAAGAAAATATTTCAAACACAGTAATTTCAGGTTGAGTGGTTTTTTCCTTTTTTTTTTTTTTTTTTTTTTTTTTCCCCCTTGAACAGGATGAAGTCTGGAAACAAAAAGTTATTATAAATTAACAAACGGCGTGAGAACCTGCATGGCAATTTTTGCTTTTTAACAAGAAGTAAAAAAAAAAATAAAATATTAAATTTAGTACAATCTAAACGTTTGCCCTTTCACAGCAAACCAAGCCCATGGCTTGCAAAGACTCATCTTACCTTTTTTTTGGTCTTTTGTACAATTTCTAAAACAATTTCAATGTCCAAATGCTGTCAAATAATTTCTTCTCCTCTCGCAGCTGCTATAAATTCAGCTGCCAAAGCCACAATGCTCCAAGTAGACTCTGTTTTTTAAAAAATAATTGGCCAATTCGCGAGATGTTTGGGTTTGTTTTGTATTTTTCCCCCTCCTCTCAATATTACCAATGGACATTCTGATTGCCATGTTTCTTTTGATAAATACTGTACAAAAGTGGCCTGCGAATATTAAAACATTTTCCTCTTCGCTCTTTGAGTCTAGCTCTAAATATTATTGGTAAAGACTTTTGCAAACTTTATGCAAAGTTCCTACCGTTTTCACTAGAACTTTTTCAAAGTTTTCTGTAATTGCTGCCCCTCCGAGATCTATACAAGTTCCTTGTCGGTTTAATTTCTGCCCCCCCCCCC